GTATTTTATTTTTACTTATTTCTCTCAACATTTAGATTATATGTTTTCTAAGAGTTGAGTTGAAATCATTTGATATTGAGCCATTTTAAAACCATTGGTGACATTTTGAAAAGAAGATTATATGGGTAAGCCATAATGATTATAATTAAGTGACAGAGAAAATAATGTGTGCAGAGAGAGCTGAAAATACAATGGAGAAGATTAGGTAGGTTATGGAGACAAAAGCACCTGCGGTTGAAAATTGTACATTTAATCATAGAATCTGCCCGGTCTAAATGCCGAAGTATTTTTGTCAGATGCGAGAACTAGAGGGGGTGACTGGTATGGGTCTATATCACATCTGTCCGTCAGCCTTGTTTGCTGGTCAGACTCTTGACCCCACAGAAGTCTGAAGCATTTTATTTTAAGTCATGGGCAGGTAATTCTTTAGAACTTTTCCTTTTATTTGGAGGGAAAAGAGTAGTGTGTGCCCCTTTAATTGTTTTGACTAGGCTTTCAGCTGAGTTTTTTGTTCTTGTTTTGTTTTTAATGCTGTATTTGCTACTGCTTGGGCTGGGGCCACCCAGACCAGGCTGAGGAATGCGGGTGAGGGACCCGGAGGGCCAGCGAAGGAGCACTTCTTTGTCAGCACTGGCTGGGAGGCTGGGGGGAGATAAGCAAGCTAGTAGATAATGGTGAAAACTAAATTCCTAAGGCGTTTCAGTGAGAAATGTGTAGATAAAATGACTGGGACTTGAAATCAGATGAAACCATCTGTTAATCCTGCTGACGTCCTTCTTAACTGTCCAATTTTATCTTCAGTTCCTTGCCATAAATCGGAGGAAATGTCTTGCAGGTTTGTATTAGAATTAACCTGGATAGTTTCGTTGTTGTAATGTTGTGTAAAGTGTCTAGCGCTGGACCTGGGCATGTGTGTGTGTGTGTTTGTGTGTGGTGTCTCACACAAATATCAATAGTTTGTCCAGTTTGAGCTAGAGAGGATGCTCCTGGTTAGGCCTCATTGTGTCCTAAGTCTGTGTGGCAATCAGGGTACCAAGAGAGGGGATTTCCTTGGAGGGGAAGACTGATTTCAGTAGCCAAGATTTGACCTTTGCAATCCATTTGTTCATCAAATTTATAGTAACATTCTTATTACATGTGAAAAAAAAAAAAAATCATCCATTCTGGATTAGAAAACGTTTAGAAAACATTTTATAAATCAAACCCAGCCTCAGAATGTCAGGTTTTAGTGAGTCTCATTTTGGCAACCGTACTTTTACAAGGATGAAACAGATGGAATATGCAGAGTTAAAAGAAAAAAAAAGAATTCAGCTTTAAGATTTTACTACACTTTGGAATTTGCCCACAAATCAAAGTCTCTGAGAATTTCTGAAATTAATCTTTGTAGCAAATGTATTAATAAAAATTCCTTATTGCGTTCCAGTCCTGCATATGCTGTTGAAGGAGCCATTGTAAATACATTTAGTTTGAATAAGACCCATTATCAAACTCTAAAAGCGAATCCTAATTCCCTTACCTTTTATGTTCTCTTCATATCATATGTGCAGTCTTCATCTCATATATATCATATTTTGGGTAGATAACATTGTTTCCTTCCTTTGCCCTCTCTTAATAAGAGAATAGCCTAGTAAATATCCTGTGTTTACAGTTGTACCCTGTATCATTCAAGCTCTGGCTTTGGAAGCAGGCAACAGAATCTAAGTCTGACTACAAGAAATGAAGGAACGATCGGGAGGGATAATGATAAAGCTCACAGATGAGCAGATGGGGAGGCACAACGAGCTTGTGGAAGGAGATGGGCCAGAGAAACGCTGGAAAACCCAGTGGGTAGGAGCTCAGAGACTTTCTAGGATGGTTCAGCACCAGCAACCATTAGCCTCTGTGTATCTTTTTTGTTCTTTGTGTATATGTGTTTGAGTTTTTTCATTTTCTATTAGCCTCTGTGTATCTTTATTCACATTTTGAGGTCCTGACAAAATCTATCTGGCCCACATTAGTTAAATGCTTTATGCCAGTGGCTCAATAAATTTTGTATAGGGAATTAAGGGGAGATGGCTGGGGGAACTATTTTTGAATTGAGCAGCAACTACTTATCCTCTAAACATAAATCGTTTTCTGTACTAAGTGGACCTTACTCAAGCACATTTGGTTTAGGAGCTCATCATGTCATAGACATTACAACTTTTTATTTTTTTACCCAAGAGTTATATTTCCCATTGGAGTTTGAAGCCAAGGTTTAGCATCAGCATGCATATGTGGGAACACTCCCCCCACCCCCATTAATTGCTGTTATTATATAAGAATTTAAGTTCTCAGTGACGATTATGGCCATACATTCCTTGAATTGATCTTAGTAGTGTGACCCCAAGACTCGCTGTAACATGGTATAAGGATGGCTTTAAGTCCTTCACAGCCTTTTGATATCTGTGTGACTTAGTTCACATCAGCTGTCTGAGTTCCCATTTCTTCATCATATTTCTTCATCAGTTCCCATATTTACAAAGGTGTGCTAAGGTTTTTCTGTATAATATATTCCTTGGCACCAGGAACATTTATTTATTCCCAGCCCTTTTCATAGTTTTACTTTAAATGGTTACAAACATGATTTTACTTATTTTAGTGAAGTCATAGTAATGAACTGAATGGCTGATATGATGAGAAAATACTTAAATAATGTGAGAAATAGAATTAAGGCCAAGGCTTAATCTTTTAGTACCTGATGCTTCTGAATTAATCTATTAAAAGTAGTGATAGTGCCCTGGCTGGTTTGGCTCAGCGGTTAGAGCGTTGGCCTGCAGTCCAAAGGACCTGGGTTCGGTTCCTACTAAGGGCACATGCCTCGGTTGTGGTTTGTCCCCGGCCCTGGTTGGTCGTGTGGGTGGCAGCCACTCGATGTGTCCCTTTCACGTCAATGTTTCTCTCTCTCTCTCTCCCTCCTACTCTATCTGAACAGAAAATGGAAAAATGCCTCGAGCGAGGATAAAAAAAAATAGTAATAAAGTAGTGATAGTAATGGTACTCAAATAATTTAACCTCCCACAAGGCTGTCTATTGTTAAAATTGCTGAGGAAGCAGAGGTGTGGATAAACTTCAGTTATCTATATATTGCCTTGTAATCTATTCTCCATATTTACATGTGAATATATACAACATTATTGTCCTGGGAATTAACTTTTTTTTTTCAAACGAACTCATTTTAAGGTATGACTGTCCAGGATATAATCCTCCCCTTTCTTTCCTTTTCTCAGTTAATTCTTCGCACACTCTAAAACTGGGACTAGATTTGCTTTTAAGACATAATCAGGCAATTGTAGTGCAATGGTTTACGAGCACAGGCTTTGCAGAGAGACAGTCCGTGTTTGAGTCCTTTTCCTCCATCTACTGTGTGTTGGCCATGGCTGATTTACAAACCTCTCTAACCTGCACTTACCAAATATATAAGAGGAAGAAAACAATAGCATCTCTCTAATGAGGGTTTTTTGAGGAATAAATGGAATGATGCACTTAAAAAATTGACAGAATGCTGGCTCTTCAACCCGCAACACATTTTAGTTCTCATTGTGGTTATAATTGCAAGAAGAAATACACTGCAAATATGTTTGTGTCTGAATCTATAGACTCATATTTGGATAGCATTTAACCTCATTTTAGATTCCTGAAAGGGATAGAGTGCCTGTTTAATTTGCAGGATGGTTCCTTACTAAGACTGAGCAATTGTTACTGTGGTTCTGTTTGTATTTACGATGTTTTTGTTATGTTCTAAAAGCAATGTAAAGTCTAGTTTATTTTAACAAAAGTTAAAGTAGATAATGCATAACAACGATTTGGTGGTGATGCTACTGGGATTCAAATAGTGTTGAATGGGATTTTTTTTTTTTTTTTTTTTTACCTGATGTGTTGTTCTTACTAAAATATTTTGAGTACAAATGTTTTATGCAAATGGATAGCACTGTAATCAGTCTTTGTGAGGCATTCCTTATTGACATACTCTAATGCTTGTGAAGTGGCCTACAACTGTGAAGTGATCATTTTTATTATTAATAATATTAAATAACAACCAAACACTATGCTGAGCACATTATTTGCATCATTTCATTTTTTATTTACTTTGTAGCCACTATGCTCTCAACTTTACAGATGAGCAAATGGACTCAGAGAAGTGTGTGACTTAACAAGGTCACACATCTAGGGAATTCAGAGGTGGGCCTTGGGGGGCTCCAAGCCCCTTGTCAAGGGAAGAGAGGCCTTTGCCAGAGGCGCTGTGATGCAGGCTTCACAAGGGCATTTCCATGGGGATGTGAGTTCTTCATTAAAGTTAGATATTGTCACTGGCGAATCCATGAACACGTTGTCAAGATTTGTACTTGAGGAGTAAGGCTGGAGGTTTAAGTATAAAGAAGCTATAATTTCTCGTTTTCCTTAATCTATTATGCTACTGTGTTTTCTCACATATTTAATGGGTGATACTTTTTGATTATATAGGGAAAGGCTTTTGTTTGATATTTTTTATATACGGCCCTGAAAAACACCCCATGCTTTCCGGACAGCAGAACCAAGTAAAGCAGCTAGGCATGGACTACTGGGTTCGGTTAGGTGCCATTGTACTCTAAGAACTTTGAATTCTGATTTAATGTTAAATCGATATGATTTGATAGCATTAGAATTATCGAGACAGGGTAAAAGTGTATTTTCCTAAAGAGAGAACCTCTGTCTTTCCATTATTTACTGTTTGCCTTTCTTCTCTTAATTAGCAGAAAAAACAAAGTAAAAATACCATGGCTTATTAATAATGAATTCACACTTACTCAGTTTTAGGAAGAATAATGGACTTGTTGGAATGTTTTCACACCTCTCTATTGGCCGGTCCATGCCTATCTATTTCCTAAATTTATCAGCAGTTTTGTACTGTGACTCACACGCCTGAAAGGCATTTTAAAGTATAGTGACATACGTGTTCTCGGGTCTCACATGCTGCGGTTGCTGGCTTTCTTCTCTTCCAGTGTCTGTGTTTGTGCTGAAAGTCCAGGTGAATGACATCATCAGTCGCCAGTACCTGAGCCAAGCAGTCGTAGAAGTGTTTGTCAACCACACGAAGACGAATTCCACAGTCACCAGAAGCAATGGAGCCGTGCTGATAAGAGTGCCCTATAAACTGGGACTCAGCCTGACCGTCGTGGCTCACAAAGATGGTTACGTGTTGACACCGCTGCCGTGGAGGACCGGGAGGATGCCAAGTAAGCGCTCAGCGGCACCCACCTTCGCGACATGTGCTTGCTCCGCTCTGGGCGCTCTCGCTCTGGGAAACTACAATGAGAGGTCTGCGTGAAGTCAGTACGAAGCAGGTTAGGAGGAGGGCCAGCTGCAGGAAACACGAGGCTTGAAGGAAGCCTGAGCACAGCCCTGGCACAAAGCTTGTGCAGGTGGCAGGCCCGAGGCCTGCGGAGAAGCGGGCGGGCCAGGTGAAGCGGGGCCAGAGGAGGAGAGGGTGTTCTCAAGAGGCGAGACAGTTTGGATTTAGGTGCTGAGTAATACGACAGCTATTGTACGTTCTTGAGCAGGAGTGTAAGTTGGCTGAAAGCTGAGTTTACTTAACAGCAAATATAATCAATAGGCCGACAGCAGGGCTACACGGAGCGGGGAGCCTGGCTGCCAGGCTGTGGCCGTGCTCCTAGTGGACAGTAATAATGGGATGTCAGCAGTTACTGGTTGCAAAATGAGCACTGGTAAATACATGTTAGCTACCAGAAGTAATAACCAGCTAGGGAAAATAATGACGAGAGATCCCTCTTAGAACAACAAGGACAAAAAAAATATGCAAGGAAATTTAAAAAAAAAATATGTGAAATAACTGTGTGGGGGAAATAGAACTGCCAAGTGTTACTGCTAGACCTCAAAAATAAAATGCCAAGTAAAACAAAGCCTGGATAACTGGATAAATATTATATTTGTTCTTAGAAAGCTTGAATAGTGTTAAGATTTCAATTCTTCACAAACTAATTTATATATTAATGGCATTTAAAAAATGTGGCAAAATAATTTTTGGATATGAATAGGTCCAAATTTAAAAATAATAAATTTTGAAGAATACATGTGTAAAAATTCCTGGGGAATCTTGTTTTATTTTTTTCCTACTGTAATTGCTATTTTATTTTTCTATTACAGTTGACATTCACTATTATTTTATTTTAGTTTCAGGTGTACAGATCTTTAGTCACAAGGATGTTGATTTAAATATTAGTTTTGGCCCTGGCCGGTTTGGCTCAGTGGTTAGAGCATCAGCCTGTGGTCCGGAGAGACCTGGGTTCGGTTCTCGCTAAGGGCCCGTACCTCAGTTGCAGTTTGTCCTCGGCCCTGGTTGGTCTTGTGGGTGGCAGCCATTCAATGTGTCCCTTTCATGTCGATGTTTCTCTCTCTCTCCCTTCCACTCTATCTGAACAAAAAATGGAAAAAATGTCCTCAGGTGAGAAAAAAAAACCCCCAAAACATTTAAATATTAGTTTTGTAACAATAGTGAGAATGGAAATAGTCTAAATAAACAATATTAGTGTAGGGGTTAAGTAAATCTTGATACTTCAAGAAATGAAATATGTGACCTTAAAAATGTTATGAAAAGGTTCCTTTTGAGGGACAGAAATGCTTGAGATTATTTTAAGCAAAAAAGCAGGGTAAAAATATTCTGTATACAATATCATGCTCCCTGTTTTAAAAAGATCACAGGAAAAGTCCAGCAAGGGTCTGCTAAATTATTACTAATGGTTATTACTAATGGTTATTACTAATTATTACTAAATTATTACTGGTGGATTGAGCATGGTCCCATGGACTGAGAGGTCCCAGTTTGACTCCTGGTCAGGGCACATGCCGGGGTGGCAGGCTTGATCCTGGGGGGGGTGCAGGATGCAGCTGATCGATGTTTCTCTCTCACATTGATGTATCTATCTCTCTCTCCCTTCCCCTCTCTCTAAAAAAATCAATAAAAAAACTTATTTAAAAAAACAATGGTTGTCTCAGTGCTGGTACTGTGATGACCATCATTTTCTTCTTATCCTTTTATGTATTTCTCAACTTCACAGTGAATATGCACCCCTTTTATACTCAGGAACATTTTAAAAGTAAAACTAAATCTGTAAGTTTTAGTGAGGATGAGAAAGATTCCCCTTAGGTTTAATAGACTTTTCAAAGCTGCAACAGCTGCCCCTCTTAAGCAGTCTGTGACCGAGAAAGTATCCAATGTGGGAGGTGCCCTAATTAGAATCAGCCCCAGGTGCAAACTGCTGCCCTGTCACCTCCTTCCAATCCAGTGAATCCAGTAATCATCCTTCATGCTCATGGAGTCTGGACTGAAATTACACTTTTATTTGGTAGTTATCCTCTTTTCCTTTTGCAGAAGAAAAGTGTATTTTGTCTTTTCCATTATAGCTCTAGGACACATCTCAAAATATTAAAAATATCCACGTGCAATGTGTGTTTTACCCTCTCTTAAGTGACTTAGGGGTATTATGTTATTTCTGTTCACTTTAAATACAGGGAAGAGAGATTGGGAACTCATGCTTTGTGTAACTCCTCAAAACTTAGTTTTTGCAGGATTGGTAAGCTTACTGGATTTGTTTTTGCTTGTAAAATGATGGTTGGTCCCAGCTTCTTGCTCCTGAGCTTGAAACAATGATCTTCCTGGTGATCTGCACTTATGTACGCTGCCAGTTATTGCAGGTGCCTACTCTGTTAGGCTGGCTCGGCCCCATCCTGAGGTACTGCTACCAGGACACACTGTGTGAAGAAGAGCTCTGTACCTTTACCCGTGACGTTAAAAAGAAGGGCGGCTGCGATCTCTGTTCTAGAGAACCTTGGATCATGGGGCCAAGAGAAATGTTTTTTAAAATTATAAGAGTGAAGTAAATAACAATTATATGGAGAAAATAACAAAAGGTTGTTCAAGTATTTAACTTGACTCTATATATCCGGGGTTAGAGAACATCATTAGTCACCTTGGCAAACTGCTGTATGAAATAGAAAAGATTCGTCAAATAAAACAGGGATGCCAGTCTTTTCATTTTATTGTGATCCTTCTTTTTGCCCTCCATTGTATTTTACATTCATCCTTCCTTTGCTTTGAGTTGCTTTTTCTACCACATAGTTTGTTTTCCCCCACTTATTAGGACCTGCTAGAACAGAACTATATTTGTCTGTTTTCCTCCTGTGTTTAGTAAAATCTTTTAATTGTGTTGTATTTCACAGTATATTCATCAGTTACACTTTCACTGTTCCCGCAAAGCCAAGCAAATATATGGCTATTTGAAGACACTGTTTTAATTACTGGAAAATTAGCTGGTAAGTATACCACTTTTTACTTAGCTAGTGAGTAAACACTTAAAGTGGTCATTAGGTTAACTGTACTTCTTCAGTTGATAATAATGTGGGAAAAATCTAAATTGATCAGGGATGATTAGTACTGACTATAAGTTGATCTGAATGGAGTCTTATTTCACTATCAAACTGTAGTATGTTTTTTTGTGTGTAGCAGGAATAATTCTCTCCTTTACTACTTGAGCTCCCCAGATGAGAACAGTGGACTTTTGGAAATATTGGAAAGAGATTTTGAACTTCTTTTCAAATCCCATTAGTGGTTGGTTGAATTAGTAATAGGGCTCAGCCCTTTGGGGCTTTCTTATGTGCAGGTCACCTTCATTCCTGTCTCTTTCATTAATCTTGCTACTTGTGTGGGAGAGGCCGAGACTGGGCATTAAATGTCTCCCTGCATATACGATTTGCCCTCTTGCATATCCCAAGGGGAAGATACAAGAAGCCTTTTTTGGGATCTGATTCAAGCTTTGTCCTGCAGTTCTGCTTTAACAACTATGAGGATGATAATTTCATCCTTACCTCCTCACCTCCCTTAACTAGTCCTTAGGGGAAAACCCAGCATTCTGTGACTCTCAGCGCATATCACATAAAACCTTTACCCAAGGCAATTATTTGCATATGAATGACAATTTGTTTTGTATTGAGGAATTAATGCTTAGGACTGAAGCATAATAGGAACAACTGGTAAAGGCAGACAATCCTCAAAATAGAATTTTTGAGAAAATCCTCAAAATAAAGTTTATAAGAGAGTCATGGTAAAAAAGAATTGTTTTGAAAGTCGCCTTCATTTTCAGAAGCTATTCTATTTATTCCTAAAGCATTAAAAAAGAAACCCTAATACTGTTGTTTAGAAAAAAAATGAAATTAGGGCTTGATTAATATTTAAGTAATTTACTGAGTGAAGCAGTAGAATCTCTTACTCTGGAAATGCTAAGGTGTGTGGCAGCATTTGGATCTTGTTTGGTGCCCAGCAGAACAGGTGATGTGGAGCCGTGTGTACCAGAATGAAAAGTAAGTAGGAACTACGTACGTGCAAAGAGAAGTAATTTTATGTTGCTGGGGCCTTTGTGGCATCAGGCTCTCCACAGCCCTCTTCAGTGTTTTATTTGTTTTGGTTTTGCTTGGACACATTCCTGCTCCTTACTGGCCTCTTTAAACCCCATTAGAATTGTAATTTCTGCTGGAATACATGACATGATCAGGGTGAGCATATCCGTGGCCACACCTTGGCCACTCCACGAAGCAGTGGGAGCTCTGCTTGTCTGGATGATACTGCCCCTGCCCCGGCTCGTCTCCACGAGACCCGGGAGCCCTGCCCAGTTCTCAGATCACTCCTGCCACCGCCTCATTTCCCTGAGAGCTGACGACCTCCTATGGCCAAGCAGGCAAGGGCGGATGTCTCCGATGATGTTGACTTGTTCCTTAGAACATACACATCTTCACTTCCGTAAAATGTTCATATTTTGTATCAGGAAGGTGTTCAGTTTGTGCAGAGGAAGTTTGTGAATATATTTGCAGTAAAAGGAGCAGGAGGAGTTGGAAACTTCAGGAAAGTACAAAACCTCAGAGGAATTCAACTAGACATTTCCCTTAGTGTACATGTCTTCAGCAGTTTGGATGTTCATCATAATTAAGTTACACACTGTAAAGAGTATGTTGTAGATAGCACCTGTGAGTGACCCAGAAGGTGGCAGATTGTACCCTCAAGCAACTTAACCAAGCAAGAATAATATAGCATAAATGCATTTTATTTTAAATCTTTATTGTTGAATGTAGAATGTATTACAGATGTTCCTCATTTTTCCCCCATTGACCCCCTCGTCCCCACTCCCGCGCCCCTCCCGCCTTTTCCCACACTATTGTCTGTGTTCATTGGTTATGCATATAAGTTCTTTGGTTTATCTCTTCCCACCCCCCAACCCCATTCCCTTTGAGGTTTGTCAGTCTAGTAGAGAATTTGTACTTCTTAATCCCTTCACCTTTTTCACCCATTCCCCCAACCCCCCTGCCATCTGGCAACCAACAAAGTGTTCTCTGTATCTATGAGAATGTTTCTGTTCTGCCTGTTCATTTTGTTTGTAGATTGCATTGTCAATAGATATGTATTCATTGCCATTTTGTTTGTTCATATATTTTATCATTTTCTTCAAAAAGACCCTTCATCATTTCATAGAATAATGGTTTGGTGGTGATGAACTCCTTTAACTTTTTCTTCTCTGGGAAACTCTTTATATGGCCATCGATTCTAAATGACAGCTTTGCAGGATAGAGTAATCTTGGTTGTAGGTTCTTGCTTTTCATCACACTGAATATTTATTGCCATTCCCTTCTGGCCTGCAAAGTTTCTTTTGAGAAATCAGCTGACAGCCTTATGGGAACTCCCTTGTAGGTAACTAGCTGCCTTTCTCTTGCTGCTTGTAAGATCTCTCTTTGTCTTGAACCTTTTGCAATTTGATGATGATGTGTCTTGATGTGCCTCTTGGGGTTCATCTTGTTTGGGACTCTCTGTGCTTCCTGGACTTGTATGTCTGATTCCTTCACCAAGTTAGGAAAGTTTTCTGCCATTATTGTTTCTTTTTTTTTTTTATCCTCACCCGAGGATATTTTTCCATTTTTTGTACAGACAGAGTGGGAGGGAGAGAGAGGAAGGGAGAGAGAATGAGAAACATCGATGTGAAGGGACACATCGAGTGGCTGCCACCCACACGACCAACCAGGGCCGGGGACAAACTGCAACCGAAGTACGTGCCCTTAGCGGGAACCGAACCCGGGTCTCTCCGGACCGCAGGCCGACGCTCTAACCGCTGAGCCAAACTGGCCAGGGCTCTGCCATTATTGTTTCAAACAGATTTTCAATTTCTTGTTCTCTTTCTTCTCCTTCTGGCACCCCCAAGATGCAAATGTTGGCACGCTTGAAGTTGTCCCAGAGGCTCCTTACACTATCCTCATTTTTTTGGATTCTTTTTTCTTTTTGCTGTTCTGATTGGGCGTTTTTTGCTTCCTTATATTCCAAATGGATGGTTTGCTTCTTGGATTTACGTACTCTACTATTGAAGCTGTGTAAATTATTCTTTATTTCAGTTAATGCCTCCTTCATTTCGGACTGTGCATCCATCATTTCTGACTGGTCCTTTTTTATGCTCTTGAGGCCCTCCCTAAGTTCACTGAGGTTCTCACTAAGTTCACTGAGCATCCTTATAAGCAGTATTTTGAACTCAGCATCTGTTAGGTTGCTTATCTCCATTTCACTTAGTTCTTTTCTTGGGGTTTTGTTTTGTTCTTTCATTTGTGACCTGTTTCTTTGTCTCCTCATTTTGGCTGCCTCCCTGTGTTTGTTTCTGTGTATTACTTAGCCAGAGGTATGGGGCTCGCTGAGACCCAATGCTGCTTGTTTGAAAGAATTTAGGAAAAACCTGAAGCAGGATCCAAGACAGGCCAATCCTATGGTTAAGCAAGTGGCAACAGCTTGGGTGGGCCTGAAAGTTGGGTGGGGCGGGGCCTCAGGGAGTCAGCAGGGCGGGGCTACCAGTGTGAGCCACGTTGCTGGAGTCCCAGATATGGCTTCTGTCTGCCACCCCAGGGAAGGGCTCACCAAAGGAACAAAGGCCTCTGACAGCACGTTTGTCCCCGAGGAATCCCCCTCTCCAGTGCTCGCTCCAGTGCCAAACAGCTCAGTTCTTCCCTGTATGTCTCTGGCGCCCCTCGAGCTGCCTCCCCTCCGAGCTTAGAGGGAGAGAGTCCGATAAGTCCATGCGCGGGCCCTTTAAGGAGCTGCCTGGGGCTCCAGCCGCCTCAGCTTCCCTGAGCCTCAGTTCCCGCTGGTTTTTCCAGCCAGAAGTTATGGGGATTCTCTTCCTGGCACTGGAACCCTGAGTGGGGCACCTGGTGTGGGACGGGGACCCCTCAGTCCTCAGGAAGGACCTTCCCAGCTGAGGTGTCCTCCTGATTTTTATCCGCCACACGTGGGTGTGGGACCAGCCCGTCAGGCTTCCGCCCCTCACTTCTCAGCCCCTCCGCCCCTCCTACCAGTCTGGATGTGGCTGCTGCTTTAATTCTGTAGTTGTAGGACTTCCATTCAGGTGGTTTTGAATGATGATTGTTCTGTAGTTTAGTTGTAACTTTGATGTGGTTGTGGGAGGACACGATACCCCGTTTACCTACGCTGCCATCTTGACTGGAAGTCTGCATTGGTTTTCTTTATATCCCTTAACTATTTATTTTCCAGGTATTATTTTTCTAGCTTCATATATAGAAAGTAAACTATATATTGATTTTGAGAATTATCTTACATTATTTTATTTATCACCATGCAACCCTTTAAAAACTAATACTTCTTTTTTTATCCTAATAATTTTAACTGAGTCCTTCTTTCTCTATCAGTGATCCTTAAAAAGACCAAGGCAAATGCTGATGCCTGATATATTTTTGTTTCAGTGATTTAAGAGTCGACTCTTGAATTGTTAAATAAGATATGTTAATTACAGAAATATCAATTTTGCCAGAATTTTGACTCCATAAATTATATTGGAGAGTAGTCAATTCAATGTTATTGATGTGAGATAATTATAAATTGAGTGCCTAGCACTGGGAACACTTTTAATGCATGTTTAGTTATCTGATAGAGAACCTACCCAGTAAAGTTTATGACTGAATATCAGCAAAGCCACTTACTGCTGTAAGTTGCTGAAAACCTAATCCTAAAACAGCTTAAGCCCAAAGGAGGCACTTATTTATTTATTTATTGCTCAAATAATTGATAGGTATAAGAGTCAGACCAGTTTTGGACATGGCTTGATCAGGGCTTCTGTTGAAATAATTTAGAACTCGTTTTTCTCTCTTCATTTCTCACTGCTCATTCCTTAAATATTGTTTCCGTTTTCAAATCAGCTCTCATTTTTGGTTGAAAGATAGCTTTTGCAACTTGTGGACGTGTAAAATCCAGTGAGGAAAAAGCAAGTCTTTTTTCCCTAGAAATCCAAGCAAAATTCACATTGCATTTCATTAACTGAGGTTGTCACATGATCCACTGTTGAACAAACCGATATAACCAAGAGAATACTGAATGAGATGCTTTTGACGGGTTTCATCTCATTCTGGTATGCACCATTAACTCAGTCCCTATGATAGAAATAAAATCCCAGTGAACCATATGGGCTAAAAATGGTCAGTATGTGATTCCCCAGCATGAAAGCCAAAAAAAGGGCGAAGGACTTTTGGGCAGCAGCATCAAGCAGCCTCTAGGATAAAGGTGACTTGTGTGATCTAAAGGAAGGGAAATTTCTTATTTGTTCAGTTCTAAATTTAAAATAATAATTTTATGAGATGTTATAATGTTTAGAAATAATTATAACTGCTTCCTTTAAAGTAAAATATCCTGTGCTTAATATGAATTTGTTTTGCCTATTTGTAATGAGGTTGTTTTTTTTTCCAGATGCCAAATCTCAACCAAGTGTTCAATTTTCAAAAGCCTTAATTAAACTACCAGACAACCACCACATCAGCAACGTTACAGGCTATCTTACAGTCCTGCAACAGTTTTTGAAAGTGGACAATTTTCTGTATACATCTGGAATTACTCTTAATAAATCAGGTATTGACTCATTTTTATATTATATAATCATTTGTATAAGTAAGAAAGAGTACCTAAATCTCATCTAATACTATTAAAGTTATTTAGATCGGATATTCATTTAAGCTTTGAAGGATACATGTCACTTTTGAAACATAAATCTAGTTGTTAGAATATTTATAAGCAATTAATCCCTTTTATGCAGTGAAAGAAAGATTATATAATAGTCTTCTGCATGCACTATTTCAAATAATGAAAATTTAATCTACAAGATACTTTTATCTAGAAGAGGTTAAAAAGGGTATAGAAAATAGTAATGGTTATTGTGTAACTTTGCAAATTAAAAATACATTTAAAATGGAAACTTGATTTATAGAAATTTACACATCTTTTAATAATTTGACCTTCTATTCATTCTTATCAAGTTGATCATAAGTGCCAGTAATTGTTAAATATAAAAAAGTTTATGCCTGGCTGTTGTGGCTCAGTGGTTGCGTGTTTGACCCATGCACCAAGAGGTCACTGGTTTGATTCCCAGTCAGGGCACATGCCTAGGTTATGGGCCCAATCCCCAGTGGGGGGCATGTAGGAGGCGGCCAATCATTGTTCTCTCTCATCGATGTTTCTCTCTCTCTCTTCCTCTAAAATCAATAAAATATATATATATTTAAATCCTCAATGAAATATATATATATATATTTAAATCCTCAATGAGGATTCAGTATCTATTTGATATTAAAATGGATAGCTCTGGGTGAACAAGAGGAACTAGATAACTTAGGCCCATATAAATTTGTTATTAATATGTTAACTACAACCTGTGTTTTACATAATGTTTTAATAAATTGTCTTTTTTTTGTTGTTGTTATTTTTAGGTTTTGAAAGCACTGAATTGACTCCTCTTGCTGCAATATGTGTGAAGATATATTCTGGAGGGAAGGAATTGGCGGTGGATGGCTCTATTCAAGTTTCTCTCCCCCTAATACATACCAATGATGTAAGCGCAGGGGATCACATACCTGCCTGGACATTTGATATGAACACAGGTATGTGAGCTAGATAGAAATATCCTGAATATTTTTCTTTTTAAGGTTTGATCTTTAGAAATATGTTTCTGCATTTTTATTTTTCAGCTTTATTGAGGTATAATCAACAAATGAAATTTCTATATTTTAATATAGAATAAAATGATTTAATATGCCTTATTATTGAAAACATTAAACTACATCATTTATATTTGAATGTTTTATATTCAGTAGAGCATTAAATCAATAATGTTATAATTTTAAGTAGTTTGTCAACCACCAATGTTGGCCCTGCTTTGAATAATGTAATACAACTGTGGGGAAAATTGTGTCAGTACACTACATTAACAAATAACATTGTTTACTTACTTTCCTGTGTTTTTACATGCCCCAACATTTTGAGCAGAAACAAATTTTTAAAATTATTTCTGCTCTTATGAGGTTTTGTTTTGATAGGCAATATGAACATATCTAAAAGCTTGGTTAAAGCAATTGAGAAATGTATGCTAATTTCATGAAAATCAATAACATTGTGTTAAGAGATATAAAGAGGGATTGTTTTTCAAAAAATCTTAGATAGCAATTTTATTCTCTGAAATTAGCCTCCTAAAACTGGCTGCTGGAATTACTTATTTTTTCATCTGCTTCCCTTGTTTTTTTTTGTGTTTCAATATAAATAATGTGGGAGTCTTTAAGCTACTTGCCCCCTCAAAAGGAAAATGATCAGTCCACAGGTGAAAAGTTCAGAGGTATGACTGTCTTAGATGAGTCATGGTTCAGAGCCTAGTTCCCCAGGACTTGGTTTCTCTCCTGTCTCTTCTGTTTCCTCTGTGTTAATACCTTTCTGAGATGGGATTCCCCTTTAGAATGGCATGTAGACTATATATGCTCAAATTTTATACATACCCAGGTTGAAGTCCAATGGAAAGAGAGACTTTTTCTAGTAATTACTCAAGCCCTCGGATTTTCTGCAGTTGTAGAATGGAATTGGCATTCCAATCTCAGAACCAAGAGGCCCTTGTGGTCGGCCAGTGGAATGCACAGATTTATTTAGGCTTAGGTCACATGTTGGAGGGGGGAATGGAGCCCAAAACTAATATGTGGACAAAGAATAGGGAGCAATTATTCCTCAAAAGGAATTTGGAATGAGGTTTCACTGTATCTGGAAAGGTAGATAATATGCGTGCTAAACAGATTCTATGGAAAGTAACCTTACATGGTGATTGGACCCTAAATTCCTAACTGGGCAGGTCATGGTGAACAGTCACTCCCTAGGTATATAACTTTTTTAGTGAAAAGCTTGTCTTTGTCTTAAGCAAGCCCTGTTCACTGTGTCTGTGCATCTAGATCAACACATCTTTGAAATGCCCCCTTTAAACCTCCTCTTTGTAATACGTGACCAACCCTTAAGAAAGCACATCATCTTAACTATCCTGTAATCCAGTCCCCACCTGGCTTTCTTCCACCTTCATGTAGTCTTCCTTACATCCCCTCATTAATTTCAAATGCATAAAAAAACCGCAAAACTATTATTCTCTGGAGCATTTGAAATCTTTCTCACTGGCAGCTATTGTCTGCTTTGGACATTTCTCACCTCGACATTTACGTTGTGTATTACAAAAGGATTGGAAGAATCCCACCCAGGACCCCCGTGTGGACCTGGACCTGGTGCTAGGTACAAGCAAGGGCCCATTGCACCCCACTGGCTTCCTCCTTGTCATAGGTGAAGTTGGGTGAGTCTTCTCCTGGAACTCTGGCCCTCCTTGCTTTAAGTAGCAGGTCAATGACTTTATTTGAGCTGTTCTTAGAAAATCCTTGAGGTGGATAAGGATTGAGATAACCCAGAGAAGAGGAAAAAAAAAAAACCAAGCGGGCTGCTGCTTTTAATTTTTCTGTATTTGGCATCTCGTATAACATTTCCACGAGTCAGGAAGAGTGTTAACAGTTATCTTATACATGTTCAGTAATCATAAACAGTTGTACTATGTAGAGAAACCCAAAGGCCACAGTCCCTATTATGACAAATATCATAAGCAGAGAGGTAAAGAAAATCAAACACAAAGGATTCTGAGTTTAATATCAGCCTGTAGATATAGAGCCTTGTCTCTGTGCTGGGATAGCTGTCTGCTTCTAGTTCAGCAGCTTCTCATCCTTGAGGTCTGGGTGATCTTTGTAGGCAGAGGCGAGCGTCAGAGACAAGCACAGGTGTCCACGTGTGGGTAGGCACCTAATAAGGTCTCTTCCAACTACATTGGAGTGTGTGTGTGTTTTTTTTTTAATCCTCACCTGAGAATATGTTTATTTATTTATTTTTTCTTAAATGTTTTTGATTTTTCAGAGAGAGACAGAAACATTCATTGGCTGCCTCCTGCATGCCCCCTACCAGGGATCAAGCCTGCAACCCGGGCATGTGCCCTGAGTGGGAATCAAACTGGGACCTCTCAGTCCATGGGCCGCCACTCAATCCACTGAGCCACACTGGCTGGGCTGAGGATATGTTTATTGATTTTTAGAGAGAAAGAGAGAGAGAGAGAGAGAGAGAGAGAGAGAGAAACATTGGTTATTTGCCTCCCTTAAGGGCCCTGACCAGGGATCGAACCCACAACCTAGGTATGTGCCCTGACCAGGAGTCAAACTCTCAACCTTTTGGTGTATGGGATGATACTCCAACCAACTGAACCATCCGACCTGGGTGAGAGTGTCTTTTAATTAATGCCCTTTCCAATAATCAAAATCTAGTCTCTCTCTCCTGGGAGCATGCTGTGAAAGGAATTGGTTATCAACTTGGCATTTTCTTAAAGTGGCTCTGCAAACCTTGGTGATAGTGTAGAATGTCTCCTTTCAATCACGTCAGCTCATAAGTTTCTTCATCTAATGATAGCCCACATTAAATACACTGTGATGCATGAAGGAATGCAAAAACTGAAAGAAATGGGGTTTTGCCAAAGAGCTGGGAAAGAACCAAGTGGCTATCTTGGGTTTTCCATAGCCTGGGAGTATTCATTTAATTTACCACCATTGTGTACCCATACAATATATCCTAGAAGGGTTTTTTTTAATCACTTATTTTGCAATGCTTCCCATAAAAGACAAAACCTTTAAGATGTTTCAGGGGCCCTTCTGGAACACTGCAAAGTTATACCTACATATATTGATATTTTAACCCTTAAAACCTCACTTTCTTATGAAAACTCAGAAGTAAGCAATTAGCATTCTTTAGCTTGGCAGATTTATGGAGACATTTTATAACCTCTAGAAAAATATTTCATCAAAGTCAATTGTTAACATCGACTTATTTTTGTAAAACCCAGGCAAAGTAAAGAAAGGTCTGTTTTACATAAATCAACAAACTTAAACCAGCTACTATTTACTAAAGATTAATCTTAGAGCATGTGAACTTGAAAAGCGTTTTGAGTTAGTTTCTCTCTTTCTGAAAATTTTAGAATACCCAATCCTTACAAGCACTTGCTTTTGAATTAATTTCCTACTTCTGGATACTATTATTAAAATTATCTCTCATTTACAAAATACATATATGGACAAACAGACATAAACAGAGACCATTTAGCCATGAGAAAACTCACTAGTTTATAAAGGAACAGCTAGATCCAAATTTTGTTTTGGAGGCATTTACAATTTATATCTGTCCTTGACAAGTCAAGCTCCAAATGACCTTCCCCCTTTTACAATAAGGACGACCATTTTTAATACCTCAAAGTATTGGGTTGACATCTAAACAGGATCATAGGTTGATCCACTTTTCTAAATCTTTTTTTACAAGTGTTGAGATACCAATTAAGTATGTTTTCCATTCATTCTGCCAAATTTTATAGCCGACTTTTTCCCAGTTGTCCTCACAAAAGATGAACTCAGAAGCATCTAAGTATCCTCATCTGAGCCATCTTCCTGCATGAGTATTAATGCGAGGCTGACTGTCGTGGGGCTTGTTGGCCTTGGAGGCATGATTTCCCATGTTAATTCTGAGGTCTGTAGAGTCTAACAAACTTCTAGGAAACATCTCCAGATGAGCCAAATGAGGTGAATATCCCTGAAGGACTGCTTCACACCCTAAAGGAAATTTTACCTCAGGTAACCTCACAGGGATTCTTCGTCACCTAAGAATACCCGAGGAAGGGCCAGGGAGAGCTTACCTGAGGCCCCCAGAATGCCCCACTTTCCAAGGCACGGCCCCCTTCTTTGGGTGAACCAACTCCAGGGTACCCTGCCCTTCTCCCCGGGGCTCCAGCTGGCTTCGCTACCACATTGGACACCTCGGAGCACCCACCTCCAGCACTTCGGATTCAGGGATCTGAACAGCTAGCATCACCCCACTGGCTATTTGACTCAGAGAAGCAAGTGTCCTTTTTCTTCCAGAGATGAAGAAACTGCATTCTGTTATTTATCCAGCAAAGATTTTGTTCAGGCTCCCAGCAAGCAATCCAATTATAAGCTAAAATTAAAAGGAGCAGCTCACTTTTTTATTTCTTTTCCCTGGGTTATCTCAACTCTTATCCACCTCGAGAATTTTTCTAAGAGCAGCTCAAATCATCGGCCTGCGGTCCAGAGAGACCCAGGTTTGGTTCCCACTAAGGGCACTTACCTCGGTTGCAATTTGTCCCTGACCCCGGTTGGGGTCGTGTGGGTGGCAACCACTTGATGTGTCCCTTTCACGTTGATGTTTCTCTCTCTCTCCCTCCCACTCTATCTGAACAAAAAATGGAAAAATGTCCTCGGGTGAGGATAAAAAAAAAAGAAGGAAATAAGAACAGCTCAAATAAAGTCATTGACCTGCTAACTTAAAGCAAGGAAGGCCAGAGTTCCAAGAGAAGACTCAGCCAAGTTCATTGGATTTGAAACAGGAAGTTGATGGGGCACAATGGACTCTTGCTTGTACTTAGCACTGGGTCCGGGTCCACAGGGTGGTCGGCTTCTTGGGAAGCCTGCTGTACTATGCCAAGTAAATGAGAACATATGAAATGTCCAAACTTGTAGAAAATTTTATGAGTTTTGAGCCAAAATGGACTTCAGTTGCCTGGAAGCAAGATCTTAAATGCTGCACAGAAGAACAGTTTGTAGTTTTTTTGTATGCATTTGAAATTAATGAGGGAAAATAAGGAGGATTACATGAGGTTGGGAGAAAGCAAGGTGGGGATTGGATTGCAAGATGATGTGCTTTTTGAGGTTGCTTACGCTTTGGAGGGGGTAATATTTCTGTCATTTCAAACCTAGAGGCACTGAAACAATGGGCAGGGCTTGCTTAAAGACCTTTCAATAAAGAAGTTATAGGCCGGGGGATGTGACTACCCACCTTACTTGCCCAGTTAGGAATTTGTGATTTATTTCAGTATTCTTTTTTCATCCACAGGGAAAGTTTTCTTTTAGTCTAACACTCGATTCTATGCTCAGTATTCACTCCTGGTCATGAAATTGGGGGGGAGGGGGGTGTCTGTCCCTCTCACATAGTTCTCAGAAGCCAGCTGGGTGTCCTACATTTCAGTTCAGACACGGTCTCTGTGGAGTTTGCATCAGATCCACAGGTTAAGGGCTTAGTCCCACAGTACTGCCTTTCTTCCTCCGACACCATCACAAGTCCACTTGTTACCTGTGCTTCTGACCAACTAGCTATAAAGTGGAGGTTCCCATGAGCCTCCCCTTGAGTTCAATACTTCGCTAGAACAGCTCACAGGAAAACAATTTACATACTAGATTAACCAGTTTATTTTATGAAAGGATATGACCAAGGAATGGCCAGATGGAAAAGATGCACAGGGCAAGGTATGGGGAGAGGCAGGGAGCATCGGCCCTCCAGCACCTCGATGGTCCACCAGTTCTGCTCTGGGAGCCTTGCAGTTCAGGGGTCTTAACCGAGGCTTCATATGTAGATATGAACAATTAAATGATGGCTCATTGGAGACTGAACTCAGTTTTCAGTCCCTGTTCCCTCTCTGGAGGTGTGTGTGGGGTGGGGTGGAAGGGTTAACCTCTCTGATCACGTGGTTGGTTTTCTTGGCAACCAGCTCCCCAGCCTTAGGGACTTTCCAGAAACTACCTTAGTAACAAGCTCAAGTGTGGTTCGCAGTTGCTTGTTATGAATAAAAAAGGACACTCTCTTCACCTTTGTGGATCTTATCAATTAGGAGTTTCTGAGGGTTTTAGGAGCTCTGTGCCAGTACTGGGGACTAAGACAAAATACATATTTCTTACTATGAATCACAATATCACAGTAGTATACTATTGTAAATCATTGGATTAAGAGCTCTAAGACCTGGATTCCAGCTCACTTACCAGCAGTTTTTTTTTTTTTAAATAAATCTCTTATTGGACCTCAATTTCCTAACATGTTGAATGAGAGAGTTGTTTTAAAACACTTTAAAGAAGAATATCTGTTTTGCTGGAGTCCTGATTTCTGATTATTCCTCCTGGCAAAGGCCTCTGTCTCTAATGTACCTTCCAGTCACAAAATTTTTTGTCTTTCCTTTTTTTTGATATTTTGTTCAGATAGAGTGGAAGGGAGAGAGAGAGAGAAACATCGACGTGAAAGGGACACATCGAGTGGCTGCCACCCTAACAACCCAACCAGGGCCGGGGACAAACTGCAACCGAGGCACATGCCCTTAGCAGGAACCGAACCCGGGTCTCTCTGGACCGCAGGCCGACGCTCTAACCGCTGAGCCAAACCGGCCAGGGCAAATTTTTTGAATTGAATGATCACATATGTAACATTTATATACACTGTATACACTCTTAACTGTTTAATCAGAATTCTAGAACATATGACAAACAACCACCTATTGATAGTTGTATTTCACTAACGTCCTTAAGATATATCTCAATAGACACAATTTAAATATTATTTGGAGAGTCATGATTTCCTTAAATATGTGTACATCCTTTATTTACTTATAATGATTTTATTTTCTGTAGTCATAATAAATCATTCAAATAATTTCATTTAATGTCTTATCATATGTACTATATTATCATGTATTATATGATGTATATATTATCTCATGATCATATATTCCTACAGTTTTTATAATTTTTAAAAAAGTCCTGCAAGGTATTCTGTATATGACTATCAGCAAACTCCTATCAGCTTTACAGAGAGATAAACTATAACTGCTTGGTATTTTAACTTACCTTTCTTTTAGGAACATGGATAAATCATGGCCAGGGAATGGTCAAGGACTATAATAATCACTTAATTTGGACATATGATGCACCACATCTGGGCTACTGGATAGCAGCTTCACTTCCAGGAACCAGAGGTTTGTAAAAATGAAACAAAAAAGTAATAAAATAAAACAAGCCCAAGCAATCATACTGGTATTGAAAGCAGCAGGTCTTGATTTGAAGCATTGCCACTTACCTGCTGCTGTAAGACTCCTGCAAACGCTTCTAGTCTCTTGATCTCAGCTTTATTTTATTTTTTCATGTGTATAAGGAAAGAATGGGCTTCATGAACTCTAAGTTCTCTTCTAGCTACAATGTCTGGTAAAGTATGACATTTGTTCAAACCAGGTATTTTCTTTCCTTAAGTTTACTTTTTGTTAATAAATTCTAGCCAGATTAGCTAGAGCATTTGGTTGCAAGGAGCAGGAACAGATTTTGGATAATTGAAATAAGGTTAGGATATAGAGAGTTCACAGGATGCTAGGGAAGGCTGAAGAACCAGATTCTAAACAGCAGAAATCCCTGAGGGCCCAGTTAACAGGCCAACTTGACAGTCGTCACTAGATTACTGCTGCGTGATGGCTGGCTGCCCCCCTTTGCCGTCCTTCCCTCACACTGTTCCTGACCATTCTAGGGATGAAGAATTTGGTTGGCCTAAACTTGGGTCATGAGCACACCCCTAGGTGGAGGAAGGGCTACTGAATAATATGTCCCCAGACTGTTCCCAAGATAAGACAAGTGATACCCAAGTGGAGACTGGCCTGACATATGAACAGAGGTGACAAAAACCAAGAATTGTCCACTAGGGATGATCATAGTCTATGAGAAATGAATATTTCCTTTTTCTAGATTTAACATGGTATCAAATTATATCATTTGTACCTAAGGAAATTCTACATTTATCTTTCAGTTGTGTAACTCAAAATACTCAGACCCTGCATATTTTATCCATTAAATCTTCTTACAGGATAATCTTCTCACCTGATGCAGTATAGACTGGTTGCACCAGGGGCCTGCTGCCACTTTCTGGCCTTGGGGTGTTGGCTGGTGGAAACTGAGTTACTTCTGGGCACCTTGTTGCTCGTCTCCTCCCTTGTCCTCCTTTAACTTGTGGGTTTGTAATCTACAAAAACAAAGCGAAACGTTCAGTGCCATTTCAGTGAAGTTTTGGGAGAGTGTGAAAGTTGAATGTGTGTCATTCCCTCATCTCTAATCATGTGTCAGTTAATTCTCTCGGTTGAGTGGCTGGGCTCCCAGCAGAGAGGCTGCTGTGACTTGGCTGTTTCATGCTGGTCAGCAATAGGCCCAGTGCACCTGCTGGTCCAGGATGCGGGTAACGTTTTATATACGTTTCTCTGCAGTGTTCTACCATCTAATTTCACATGGCTGTCTATTAATTGGAAGACTCTTACAGTTTTTCTGAAAAAATTTAGAAATAGTTTTTAATGTTCAATTTTTGTTAACAACGTTTGAATTTTTTTTTAAATCCTCACCTGAGGATATGTTTATTGATTTAGAGAGAGAGTAACATCGAGGAACATTGATCGGTTGCCTCCTGTACCCATCCCAACTGGTGATCATACCCACAACCTAGGTGTGTGTCCTGATTGAACCTGCAATCTTTTTGGTGCATGGGGCGATGTTCCAACCAACTGTGCCACTCAGCTGGGGTGACAACCTTTGAATTTTAAACTGCACAAGTAACAAGACTTTTTTTTAATGATGCCAAAATTTGTATTCCAGTGGAAGAAATATAAGCCATTAGCCATATATTATCAAAAGAGATATTCTCTCTGTTTCTGTTTGACCTTAGTACTTATGAGATAATTATTCAGGAACCAGAGGGTGGTTACTTTTATTTTTCATGATGCAAAATATCATGCAGTCTTGCCAGCTGTCTAGCCTTATCCCTATTTAGGTTTGCAACTGTAATGAAATATTGATGAAAAGGAACAATTAATATATAATTTAATACTTCAACTCAACTAAATCCAAGTTATTTTATTTCTAATAAAAATAGCCCAAGGAGTACTGGGTTTTATAGAGAAGTGTACCTTCCACTAAACATATACCTGAAACAACCAATTTATATAAATGACTTTATGAATTATAAAAGCTGAATACTTTTCTGGAACAGGTTAAGGTTTTATTTCAGCTTATATGTTGGGAAAGATTTTGTGTGAAATTGAGTACTGAAACAGAAGTGTGGGATTCCTATTTAGATTGGACTAGATACCTTCTGGTGATGCTTTTATTCTGCAAGTGTATCACAGACTAAGGAACACTGTATTAGAAATATGGATAACTTGACTGTAGCTCTGGCTTTGCCAGTAACTAACAGGGTGAGTTGGAAATAGGTATTTATCCATCTGAGTATTAGTTTTCTTGTTTTTAAATGGTGATTGTTGGATATGATGGCCCTTAATATCCCAAAACATTCTAGGATGTGTTACTGTAAAATCAAAGTTGGTCCTATGATGGGCTAGTTTAGTAGTAATTTGGTTAATATATAAATCTTTTTAAAATAAATCTTAAATAGAATTCTAGAATTTCTAGAAAAAATATTAAGCACAAGAAATTAGTTTTTCATAGATTGTTTTAGGTAACTATGCAGGTATGTATAGAATGTAATAAACAATTGCTCATTAATGTTTTAAAATATTCATTTTCAAATGTATTTCAATTTTGAAAATATATTGTTAATATTCTACATTTCTATCCCCATCTAAGCATATGTACACACACACACACACACACACACACACTCACGCACAGGCACAGGCACATGCAGATGCATTCTTTTTTGCTCTTATCGTATATATAGGATTTGGGGCAAACCCAACAGTATCAGCTTCCTCTTTCCAAAAGTGAATTTTGTTGGAATCCTGTGGCGTGAAAATTGCTAGCATTACTGTATTGTGAAAACGTGCTCTTATAATCTTAGAGCAGAAATTGAATTTCACCCAGTTATAATCAAACTTTATTCCTTTGCAGCTGAATAAGAATCCATAGATAGAATTGTTACTCTTATTTCTTTTTTGTTTGAAGAAATTTCATATTATGTAATGTACTTGGTTGCCTATTAGATATGATGAACACTTTATTATTAGTAACCATATATGAAAGTGTGGCCAATTCTGGAGTGCCTGTTCTAACATGACCTTGAAGTTATGCAACAGTGTAGTATAGCCAACACTTACTGAGTGCCTATCATGTGCTAAGCACTGTTCTAAGTATTAACTCATTTAATCCTAAACAAACCACATGGGTTACGTATGACAGCCGTGAGCTGAGACACAAAGAAATGAAACTTCCCCAAGGCCACATAGAAATAAATGGTGAGACCAGGGGTTCCATTTCAGGCATTCTGGCTGCACAGTCTGTATGCTTCTCCAAGTCCCTTACTATTACTGTTAACTTGACTTTTATTAAATGAGATGATGCAAAATGAAAAGGATAAATTTAAGAACCTCATGACCCTCAGTCCCTTCTAGTGCTCTTCTATAAACATCATTCTGGATGTTTTCTCTTGGTAGAGGTGACCAGAAAACTCCTGTCTCACCATTCTCATCACCTGAATACATAGTACCGTCTAGTTGATACTGATCAGTAGAGTTGTTATGTACATTTTTTAACAAAATGAAGGCTTAGTGATACTAAAAAGATTATCTCAATATTAGTTGCCCGGTAGCATTGATTTTCATGCACTCTTAATAGCCTACACTCGTCACTTCAGTGTATTCGTCAGCTTTTACTGAAGTTTAATAAAGCTCATCAGAATAGTATCATATCGTATCTATGCTCTCATATAAAAGGGGAAGTGGGCCAGGTCAGCTGTGCCTCCGCTGGGCTCAGCTTACTGGGATCATGGCATTTTCTTATTCCATAACCCAGGCTGAAGGAGTTGCAACTTTTAATCCTTCAAGTCCTTCAATTTTTGGATTTTGTCTAGTCCTTTCTTCCCTGCTTACTTTGGCAAATTCTGTTTTGAATTTATCTTTAAAATTTCTTTTTGAATTGAATGCAGCTAGTAAAAGGCCACACCCACTACTTGTATTTCATCCCAAAACTTCTTTGCACAAAGTTCAGATGAACTGGAAATATTTTCTCCCAGGTTATGCCACCACATAACTTGGGTTACCATTTTTATTGCCTACTGAAGCAGTTTCCTCGCTGCTCACCGCCTGGCCTGAAGTCACATATTTTAGGCTGTTGTTATTATAGCGGCATTTCAGCATCTTGGTACCAATGTCCATAACAGCCATTGCTGCAGTAACAAATCTGCTGTCTCAGTGGCTGACAATACAAACGTTTATTTGTTACTTACATTTCATGACCTTTGGGCTTGGCTTTGTTCAGTTCAACATTTTTTCTCATTCCAGAATGTAGGTTGTAGTAATACAAACTCTCTGGGATATACTGTTCACATATTAGAGGGCCTTATGTGGTCTTTTAAGTGGGCAGGGCTGCAACATGCAACCTAATTTAAGGTGTTAACATTTCACTGGGCAGAGCACGTCAGTTGATGAAGCCCTAAGAGTAGAGGAGGTATTCTCCACTCACAGGAAGCCTGCCTTTGGAGGGGAGCAAACCAATACAAGTTTGTACACATATTCAGTCTGTGTCACCCAGGATAGGACATATTTGAAAATCTGACCTAAAGTGTGTATTTTCCTTTTGTTTAATTTGTTTGTTTATATTGAACCATTTAGGTTCAGGTATAATTGGAGACCCAAAGGACATCACTGCCTACCACACAGTGTTTCTGACAGCCATATTGGGAGGAACGATAGTCATTGTCATTGGATTTTTTGCTGTGCTTCTTTGTTATTGCAGGTAAGAAAATATTCATGTGTAAAAACCCAAAAAACTATCAAATTATAGTATTGTCTCAGTATCTTCTGTGTATTACAAAGTTTATTTGTAGAAGTCAATGGATTACTCTTTATGAAGGTTAAAATAAAAATGGATATATTCTAACAGCATTGCCTATGTAATGTACATATTGTGGGATGAATATTTAAAGGAACCTTCTAGATTATAAGTTGTAAACACTGTTTGCCTTCTCTTCTACTCCAGGGGTAAGTGTGGTACTCCGCAGAAAAGAGAAAGAAATATCACTAAACTTGAGGTCCTCAAGAGAGACCAGACAACTTCAACAACACACATAAATCACATCAGTTCAGTCAAAACTGCATTAAAAGCTGAGGATAAGTCACAGTTATTCAATGCCAAAAATTCCTCATACAGCCCGCAAAAAAAGGAACTACCAAAGACAGAAGGAGAAGAAAGAGTTTCCGTGGTAAAAACTCGGGACAATTTTAAAATCTACAATGAAAATGTTTCATTTCTGTCAGCCAATCAAAATAGTTACTCAAGAAACCCAACACAGTCCTTGGAGTCCAGTGTAGGGGCCAAACAACTCATGCATATTAATAACAATCTATCTTCTCTGGGTGATGCTCAAGAGGAAAAGAGGTATCTCACAGGTAATGAAGAGTTATATGGGCGCTCCCACATTCCTGAACAGCTTATGCATATCTACAGCCAGCCCATTGCCATCCTTCAAACATCTGACCTTTTCTCCACTCAAGAGCAGTTACATACTGCTAAGTCAGCTACTTTGCCAAGAAAGGGACAATTAGTCTATGGCCAATTGATGGAACCAGTAAATAGAGAGAACTTTACACAGACATTGCCCAAAATGCCAATGCATTCTCATACACAGCCTACAGATGCCAGGGAAGAGAACATCCCACTTGAAGGTCAACAGAGCTTGCCATCCCAAACTTCAGATTGGAGCCGGTATTCCAACAGCTTACTAGAGTCTGTTTCTGTTCCTGGAACCCTAAATGAAGCTGTTGTAATGACTCCCTTTTCATCAGAGCTTCAAGGAATTTCAGAACAGACCCTCCTGGAGCTGTCCAAAGGAAAGCCCTCCCCCCATCCCAGAGCCTGGTTTGTGTCTCTTGATGGCAAGCCGGTTGCACAAGTGAGGCATTCCTTTATAGACCTGAAAAAGGGCAAGAGAACCCAGAGCAATGACACGAGTCTGGACTCAGGGGTGGACATGAATGAGCATCACTCCAGTAGAAAACTCGAGAGGGAGAAAACTTTCATCAAAAGCATGCATCAGCCTAAGATTCTTTACTTAGAAGATTTAGACCTAAGTAGCAGTGAGAGTGGAACCACTGTCTGCTCCCCGGAGGACCCAGCTTTAAGGCACATTCTAGATGGAGGGAGTGGAGCTATCATGGAACACCCTGGGGAAGAATCCCCAAGAAGAAAAAGCACTGGTGAAGATTTTGAAGCCAATACATCCCCTACTAAAAAAAGGGGCAGACCACCACTAGCCAAAAGAGATAGCAAAACTAATATCTGGAAGAAGCGAGAGGAACGCCCACTGATCCCCATAAATTAACACCAAGGATGGTTGTGTGTCTGCTCTCTTGTGCTGTTTATTCTTGCTTCTTATTGTAAACTGCAGTAGGAACTTCTTAAGAAGGTGAGATTGAACAATCCAGTGGTCCCTGGACATGTCTCAAGCAGAGTAAATAGGAAAATGGTAATTCAGTAATGAGAGGGAATGCTTTTTCTGATTTATTCTTTTCATTTATTTGTGGGTGCTGAATTTGATGTATCCAAGTGTTCAAAATGTAAAATAGCCTCAAGATGTCAATTATCTGAAAACATTGCTCAGTCACCATCTTAGCCCTGATTTGCTTAAGAAATAACATTGTGGAGCATGCACTCCTAAAGTTGCTTCCATGTACAAATGTGGCTTCTGCTTTGAGAACACCCCTGTGAAACATTTAGAAATGACACTGTATTCTTCAGGCACCATATTCCTCTGAAATATCACTATTAAGTTCTCCACTACTTACACTTGAAAATAACTTAATACATGTTTTTGATTATGTAATTTTAGAGTTTAAAGGCCAAACAACATTTTCTTTCTTTCTTTTTACTTTATTTTTTTTCTATAAACATCATGTATATTGCCCCAAAGTAAATCCCATATTCATGTAAGATGGGCAAGAAGCTACTTGGTTGTTAGAGAGGGAAACTCCAGAAATTTGTTTTTTTTTTTAAATGTAACTTTGCAGAATAAATGGTAAGGTGATAATTTGTTATTTAGAAATTTGAGAAGTAAATTTTTATTTAAAAATTTCCTTTTCCCTTTCCTCAAAAGTAAAGTGAGCTTAGCTGTCAAGGAAAACTACACGAATCTGGAAAAAACAACAACAAAGAAACAAAAAACCTTATCTTTAGTTTAAGAGTCACTGATACATGTAAAGCTAAAATCTTTTTTTTTTTTAATCCTCACCCAAGGACATTTTTCCATTTTTTGCTCAGATAGAGAGGGAAGGAGAAAGAGAGAGAAACATCGACGTGAAAGGGACACATCGAGTGGCTACCACCTGCACGACCCAACCAGGGCCAGGGACAAACTGCAACCGAGGTACATGCCCTTAGCGGGTACCGAACCGGGGTCTCTCCGGACCGCAGGTGGACACTCTAACCGCTGAGCCAAACCGGCCAGGGCTAACGCTAAAATCATTTTAAGATATTCTATTAAAAATTCTGGCATTAAGATGCTATTCAACCTGATTTTTTTAAAAAAATCAATAAATTTAAAGTTTCTTATGAACATTAAAAAATTAAAATGTGTGGAGCTAAAGGAAATAAACATTTCAATTTTTTCTTAAATAATGAGCTAAAAAAGAAATGCCATTTCCCAGAGACTCAAAAATATCTTTGGGATATTAGGTATATGTGTAGATCTCTTTTTTTTTTTTCTGTTAACATTCATAAGAGATGTTTGAGAAGAACAGTTTCGATTTCATGGGAAAAGTAAAAGCCTTTTTTTGGAAGTGAGTTGTAGCCTTTGCAACACCCCTTTCCCTGTTTTGGAAGTAATATGTTCATCCTAGCAAAGAATTTAGTGTGAATACATTCAGCTGTTTTTAATTATAAGTGTCTTCAACTCTGAATTATCATTTATATGTCCTAAAAATTAATCTCTTTGTTAATTAAAATCAAATTCCACTTTTCTTAAAATTTCCATGAAGGCAAATGTTTGAAATAGATCCCCCTTTTCCTTAGGGGGAAAATGGAAAAAACTTGCTTTATTTCTCATCTCTACTAATCAACATGAGAGCAACATAGAGACCCAAGGCATGTGAGTTCAAAGAACCAAAATTAGCCACATGAGCTTTAGTCAAATTATAAATGGATGTACAATGAAAGACTACAGCTTTTCCCACAGGGAGTCAACTTCAGCCAGTTTTTTTCCCCCCCTTGTAACCACTTCTGAAGCATCTAACCTGTCAGGATACTGCTACCTTTCTGTTTTAACCCAAAGAACTTCAAGAACAAGGCAAAAGTTTGCTATGTTTTACCTCAATCCATAGACGAGGTAAATGTTTTGGTAATACCTAGGCTAACTTTTATTTTTGTGGGGTGTAGTGATAAGGCCCAAAGTTAGAGGAGGCATATTGGTCTGTACAGGAAGATGTATCAAAAGCGCATGAATGAAATGACTTGGAAAAGGTTGAGAAGTTAGTGCTCTGCTGAAGTGCCTTTGATATAGACTTGCTTTATTAGACGGATATAACATCTTTCTTAAATGTGCATTTTCTTTCTTTTAGCCAACTTAAGCAGATGTGCAGTTTTTATTAAAAAATATAGACCTAGTGATTCATGTTGGAACAGTGAAATTTGCATGCAAGTGGCATTTCTCTTTTGTGTATTTCTTTTTTTGAATCTAGTTTATATTGATAGATTATGTTGGAATGAAGTTAGAAACTATATAGTGAAATGTTATACTTCTTCAATATTTTAAATGTGTATTTTCCACCTTTAACTAAAAATGTTTCATCTCTTGGCTTAGTAGTGGAATATACATGTTGATATAAGGGTATACCATCCAGGCATGCTGTTTATTCATTCTTGTGCAAAGGAAATGGGAAGATGTATCCCCAAGGGCTTTTCTAAAATACATTTTTTTGTTTCAGAATAAAACCTTATTTTTTATACACTGCACATTCTGTTCTCAATTGGAAAGTATAGGCAATTTATCTTTTCTAATGATTAAAAATGTGAAACTTCTCATTTGTGAGTAGTTCACAAATTTCCTGTTAAAAAGCTGAAGCCATCTACTTTTTCTTAACCCATGTGATACTAAACCTACAATATTTACAATTTTGTTAAAATTTTAAATTGAAAATCAACCCAGTTTTTTGCAAATATAAACCTAGAGAATTTTGGTCACAAATTGTTGACATTTGTGGATCCTTTGTACATACTTTGCATATACTTAAAAGCAAAATTATCCCTCAATTAACTGATGGATTCATTTACTAAAGCACAGCTATATGTATTTTTGAATACATATTAAAATCTTGAGACTTTATAAAATTCATTTTTATGAGATTTAGGCAGTTGTATAGGGATTGCACCCTTTTATAATACACAGTGCACCAAGAAGGTCACAAATGTTGAGGAATAAAAGCACTTCTTTGCTTTGGCAATCTTTTTCAGATCACTTCCTCTGTGTTTGAGGCCTCTGGTATCCATGCATATAGAGTTTTAGAGATCTGTGGGTCAAATAGAATCCCTCAAAACTTCCCAGAAAGGTGAAGGTCAAAGTTACATTTTTGTTTGTAGGGAATGAGTTATTCACGTGCCATGTACTGGCTTTGTAAAGAATTTGACTGTGTTAATTTCCATCTCAGATCTAGATTTGACATTTTGCCCTGTTTCCAAGTGTTTCTATCTTTTGTACTCTTTCATCAGATGAATCTCATTTTTCAGTGTATATTTATGGTCATTTACTACTATATTTACTGCTGAAAACTGTAACAATCTGAAGATTTGTAAAATGTTAAACATAGTTCATTAACGATAATAAAATAAATCTAAAAATGTACTTGATGCATTGTTTACTTTGGGTAATCTACAAAATATTCCTCTCCAAATTGTCATTTAATCTAGTAAATATTCAATTATTACTTTTTATTTATTATACTCCCTATAGTAAAATAAACATTATATATTTGAACACCTCATGTTTATATAATGAACTTGATTTATCTTTGCATGTCATATTCTCCAAAGTTCACATTTTTACTATTAAAGCTGAGTATAGACATATTATTTTTCCTCTAATGAGAAGACTTCTTAAGATAAAATGATAGCATGTAAAATATATGGCATTCCCAAAATACCTACGTGAAGAAATGATACAATATCTCCTTCCCACCTTTAAAATAATTATTTGGGCCCTGGCCAGTTCGGCTCAGTGGTTGGAGTGTTGGCCTGTGGACCAGAGAGTCCCGGGTTTGGTTCCTGCTAGGTGCATGTACCGAAAAAAAAAGTTATTTGAACTTTAAACCTAAGACTAAATGATAACAAAGGCTGTTTATACTTAGAATGTTGGATCTCCTTCAAGAGCCCTTCTGCTTAATTAATTGAACAATACTTCAGTTCAGGACATTTGTATTTTGGGCTTTATAGTATCTTTACAATCATTATCCCGAGTACCATGTTTTTAGACATTTTGTATAACAAATTAACATGATACTAGAAATACCATATTATTTGGTCAGTTCTAATGGGAATTAGGCTCTGAATCCACTCACACATACAAAGGAGATATGACGTCCCCAACACAGGCATTGAAGTCGACACTGCCAGTTGGGGATCCCTGTGGAGTACAAGCCAGGTTGTGGCTGCCTTTGTTCCAGGGCTGGTCTCCATCTGGGAGAGTCTGGAGTCTTAACACAAATGATGCAGCCCCTGGAAGAGTCATGCAGGACCCCATCTCAGGGAACTGGTTGGAATAAAAAAACATTTCATAAATCACAATCAGAAACTTGGCTACCAAACAGGAGATTTTCATGATCTGGTCATCACATTCTCATCTCAGAAGGACAATATGAGAAGACTGATATGTAAGAACTATAGAAAAGGTAGTTGGATGGAGTTAGATATTTTAATGAGTTTATCAAAAGTGATTCACCAATCAGTACTTGATAATTGTCACAGCTAATCAAGGGACCCTTCCTTTGAACTACATGCTGGAAAAATGTTAAACTATACCACAGTGTTGCTTTATCTCGGCTTAATAAAATCCCATTTTAGCCTTTTTAAAATATAAGTACACTATAAAAGAATCATTGAGTTTAGTGTTGTTGTTTTTTAACTCAAGGTCCATTAAGTTTTTTTTTTCTGTATAAAGGCATTTTCAGCGTTTCAACAGAGAAAAATCATCTAGAAATCATCAGTTTGCAATGTTAAATACTAAAAAGTTAATAAACTCAATTACAACGGATGGGAAAGCATTTTTCATTAAATATGTAGCACATTTCTTAGGGGAAAAACTGTGATGAAACAGCTAAGTTTAAAGATCACATGTACGTGTTGGTCGAAACATTGCTATAATACTTTTCTCTACTTTGTTTGCTATAGTAGACAAACATCTTCTGATTTCTGCTGGGAAAACTCACATGTTGAAAAGTACATGTTGTTTTATTCCTTTGTTGACAAAACCTTTCCTGGTTGAATCCCATATTTCCTGGTTTTCAGACCTGTACTTGCTATGGCTGTAAATGATATTCTACAGCCCTGTAGGGATACTGCAATTTCCCAAATGATTTAGTGGTTTTTTCCTTCAGATTTACTAGAGGTTTCATAATTCATGTGTTGACTGGTTTTAATCCTTGTGGACCTTATTAACATACTAGACTAACTGCAGACAGTCTGATTCAAAACAAATCAGATAATTACATTCCCAGGAGTCTCTGGGTTTATTACACTTGAACAGCTTAAAAACATTTCTGAAATACTATATATTGAAAAGCATAATTGTAGCTATTAGGCAACATCGAGTAGATACCTCAAAATAATTTTTGTTTTATATATGCCCATATTTTAGCCTAAAAAATACAAATCTTTTTTTGTTTTAAAGTATTTTTAGATATATTCAGCTTAATACATTTATCTCTAATATCTAGCATTCTGTAATAAATACTATTTTGAAACTTTGATTTCTAATTTAGATAACTTCTGAAAGATTTATATCCATTAAATAAATAAATGCTTATTAACATGTACTTTTACAGATAGTTTATTTTCATTATTGTTTCATTTAGTGTTTATTGCTAATTATTGGGGTAACTGGATGACTGGGGGAAGGCTTGAGAGGGAACCTGTCATTTTTTTGGATATTCCCAGTTATAAATATTAGTAGGGCATGTAGAAGACTTCCCGTGCACCTTTAATCAATCTCGGGGTGGCTAGAGGGTAACAGCAGGTATTAGACATGATG